CAACAGTAGTTTTGCATTGATTGGTATATCAATAACCAGTAACCGGCCGATTACTACTCCTGCTCACATATCTTTCTTCTAGCACCTCAATTTTGGAAGACCTTCTTTTACCCCATTCTCTCAATACATAACCTTTGTGTTTGGCTATTGTCCATTGGGTCTGCATCTATATTGTCTTATGGTTTTACCATTGTCGTTATTGTCCGCTAGATTTTCAGCTATTGTTTGTTGGTTTCTCCTTGACAACTATTATCCACCGAGCTCTTCTCTATTGTCTACTGATTCACCCACCAAAGATGTGAGTTACTATTTATTAGTGGTTTCAAAAATCCACCAAAGCAAGTGGGCAACATTTATATGTGATTTGTTTTCTTCACTCACATATCCTTCTTCTAAGCACCTCAATTTTGGAAGACCTTCTCTTACCTCTCTGTCCTATTCTAGGATCTTTGTATTTATCTATTGTTCGCTGAACCTATATATATATATATATATATATATATATATATATATATATATATATTGTCTTATGGGTTTTCCATTGTTGTTATTGTTTGCTAGGTCTTCAGCTATTGTTCGCTGAGCGTCTATTATTCAACAAGTTTTTATCTATTGTCCGCTAGGTCTTTCTGAGAAACTCGGCCTAATAGGGTCCGAGGCAATTCTATTTTTTGCTCCATTCACTACTATATTGAAGTCCTAGGTAGATGGGAGCGCACTAGGTGTGATTGGTGGAGTGTCAACCTCGTTAGTGCTAGAGATTTCTGTCAAAGTTTCCACAACTACCTCAATACTAATGCAATCCTGCCCTTCATCTATTAGAACCTCCATGCCTTTTCCATTTTCTAGAGTAGAACCTGTTGGGATTTTGAATGGTGTGAATGGAAATAAAAGGGGAAGAAGCCAATAGTTGGTGAGTAATCAGTTAGATTGGGTTATGTGACCAACCCGAATCGAGTTGAACCGAACCAATATGGCGGTTGGAGTGAACCAACCGGTCCAACTACCATAGGATGAACCGATACAATGGTTCATTATTTTAAAGTGAATCGATGTGTTGGTTGGGGTGTAACCACCCACTCGAAGGGTCACATCCCTTCACTCACACCCCCATCATTTTCTATAAATAGCACCATCCCCCTGTGTTTTCAAACACAAATTTTTCTAAAGGATTTTTCAGCCAAAGAAATATTTTTCCTCTTCATTTCATATTTCCTCTATACAAATATATAAAAGAAAATAGAGTTGTGTCACTTCGTTGCGTTTGCTGGTGGTTCATTCTTGTTGATTGGTTTCCAAAGATGGAAATGGCATCGGACAGGAGTCGCAAATAGTTACTACTCCGTTGTTACATTCAATTCTTGGTGCATTGTGTGGGATAAAATAATATATATAGTTCTCTCTATACATATATATACTAGGTGGCGATGTTGCGCATTGTCGCGGAGTGGAGATGGCCTATTAGCATGTATTATTTTGCCCGTTATGGTGTTTTGTTAGTATTATTAGTCGTCTAAACCTAATTTTTGTAGTAAGTTTGTTAGTAATATTGACTTGATAATATGATCTTGACCGAGAATAGATAGCGGTGAACATCCAATTTTGAAAATTTTGGCTAGTAAATGATATATACCTAAACCCAAGTGACCCATTGATTATGGGTAGGGTATAGGTTACGTATATGTGGGTTTGGAAGTTTGTAGAAGGGTTTGGGCAGGGTATGGATATTTACTTTCATAATCTAAATGTGTATGAGTTGGGTATGGATATCCATGGATTCATGTGAAATCTAAACATTGGACCAATATGTAAATTTAAAAATTTGTAGGTACGAAAATCTTATAAAATATTGATACCAAAATATAATTGTTCAATGAATTTACATTAAAATTAAATTTGAGGTATCAAAATGCAAAATGTATATTATAGTGATTAAGTTGTGATTTAATTAAATTTGGGATATCAAAAGTAAGTTTTTATGCAACAGTAAACTTACTTCAGATTTATATATATTGATGTTCGTTGTGTGCCTGTGTGTGACTAACGATTTGGCATGGATTAATTCTCGTTGGTTAATTGCATAGATTAACGATTAATTGATCAGTTTTGACATGATTAATTGCAATGTATATATACATACGTCTTAAGTGCGACAATATATGTCTTGGTTTATGCATAGATTATATAAGCACCAGAATGCATGGTAATTGTTGTTTTCATGTTTATGGTGAAACATGGTTGATAAAGATAAGATTGGTTAGGAACCGATTTAGTGATCGTTGAACCAATTCGATTTGGTTAAGTGGATGTCAAATACTTTTTTAATATTTGAGATGAGAACAAACTCATAATTCATATTATGAGAAGTGTTCAAGAAAGTTCAACTTGGTTGAATTTGAAAGAATTCACAATGAATTCTTAGAAACAAATTTTTCATAAAATTTGCGAGTTTCAATTTTGAGCACTTGAAAGATGCAACACTTATGTTTATGTGACCAAGTTGTTTGAAGTAAATTGAAACAATATGTGGGAAGTGTTCCCGAGACATGGAGTTTGATCCATGACCGTGTACTTATATATGTAAACTGTGTATTTACATAATGATAAACACAAGGTTCATATTTTCTAAGTGGAACATTCGTTGGATAAAGCCATTATGAGCTTGTTTGGTTCCAAATTCAACCACCAAGTTTTAATGCATACATTGCATTGATCTTATTCACATATATGGGGTGAATGACTTGTTCCAATTTATTTTGGATACTTGTTCATTCAATGTAAGGCATGAGAGGATAGAAGAATCGATACCTCAATATGCTAACGTATGCCACATATTATAAATGGAGTAAATCCAAGGTATCCCTTCATGGATTGGAAGGTGGTTTGGATGGTAGTAAACTGTCCGGGTAGAAAATATGACAACCATAGGCGTGTAAAACTTATGGCTTGAGACAACTAGTGGGGACTTGTAAGTCAAGTCTATCTAAGCCGGAATGGTTTCAATACTCCAGTGATACAAACATATCTTCTGCACCATCAAGCGTGAAACTAATCTTATCAATCAATGTAGAAGTTGTAGGAAATTCAACACAAATCATAGCACTAACTATTTTACCTCTATTTCTCGGAGATAAATCCATACATAAAGGTTTACCCAAGATACTACCCAGTTGACCCAATCATTCTCTCGAACTCGGTTTAGTTGGGATGCCGCAAAGCCTGACCCAGAATAGAATTGTGGAGTTATCGATCTTCAGTGGCTAGATCCCAAGTTCCCATTGTCGTAAGCGTATCATAACCTCCTGGCAAAGCCAGGTTCCACCCTCAAACACCCAATTGTAGGCTTCCGCTGACAGAAATTGAAACAAGACTAGATGGTCTCCAAACCCTAAAACTCGAATCTCACCCTTGCCAACCCAAATATAGTTTTCCTACGAACGGGGTAGACCCAATGTCAATGTTTTACTAAGGAATTATCCCACCGGACTATGCACCCATCATTGAGCTCCTTCGTCGACTACGTTCCTTGGAAGTCTAAACGACCCATTTACAATCTCCAGTTCGTAGTATTTAAGGCGACCTCCTTTTGGTACAGCAAAGAGGGATACCCACGAGTGGCCGCCACCAATAGCACCCGTCGAGGAATTATCTATGACGACTTCCATAAGAAAGTTTGTTCGATCGTGTAGAGAGAAATATTTAGTTAGAGAAAGCAAATAAAGAAAAGTTTAATATTGATTTATGCATACATTTGAGTTCTACGTAAATCGTAGTTGAACAAAATAGGAAAAAATCCCAAAATACATATGTTTTAAAAAAAATTCCAAAATAAACACGTTATAAAAAAATTCTCAAAATACACATGTTCGGGCATCACCGCTGTTGTCAACCGCAGTGAATGCATTTACCGCGGCAGACCAAAGCGGTGAATGGATCACCGCAGTTGACAGCCGCGGTGAATGGTTGACGTAACACTGAAACTTCAAACAAACGTAACTTTGCCCTCGGTTATCCGATTGTAGCGAATGTTTTTTTGATTCCACATAACTTTTCAAGATCTTTCAATCTGCAACAAGACTTCATCTAAAAAAATGTCGCTTACTACCCCGAATGAGCAATTTTTCGAATTTGACAAACTTTGGAAGATCATAACTTTGTGCTCCACAATCCGAATGTCATGAAACTTTTTTTTTTATTTTGCATAACTTTTGAATTACTACAACTTTGATCATAACCATAATTATGTAAAGTGTGTGGATTTGTGAAAAGTAAATGCAAAGTTATTCCCAAAATCCCGTATACCCAAAAATACTTCTTTATTTGAAAATAATTACTAGTCAAAGTTGTAGTTCTTAAAAAGTTATGCACAATAAAAAAACTTTACGACGTTCGGATTGAGGAGCTAAAAGTTATGTCCTTCCAAAGTTTGGCAAAATCGAAAAATTGCCCGTTCGGGGTAATAAACGACATTTTTTTTAGATGAAGTCTTGTTGCAGATTGAAAGATATTGAAAGTTATATGGAATCAAAAAAAAGTTCGCTGCAATCGGATAACCGAGCGCAAAGTTACGTTTGTTTGAAGTTTCAGTGTTAAGTTAGGCATTCACCGCGGCCGTCAACTGCGGTGATTCATTCACTGCGGTTGACAACAGCGGTGATGCCCAAACATGTGTATTTTGGAAAAAAAATTTATAACATGTGTATTTTGAGAATTTTTTAAAAAACATGTGTATTTTGGGAATTCATCCAACAACATATGACTTCATCTTTCATGTCTCAAATTGTCAAAATGAATTCTATGGAAAATAATATGTCAGGTTTTGCGTAACTACATTAATGTATATTTATGTATATTTGATGTCACAATAGAATATAATTTGTCGAAAACTAGACAGAATTCATGAGTTTTTTTAGAATCATGGTCACTCTCTTAACATTTTTGCTACATAAGTCTTCATTAGTCTTCATTGTAAGCTTTAAAAGGATATTAGCAATGAGCCACATGAAAAACACTCTTCATTATTTAATAAAAGACAAAATTATGAATGATTATTTCATAAAATATATTGAAATTGATATCATACGAATGTATCTTACAAGCTTTTCAAAAATATTAAATATGAGAACACATTACAGAACACTACGAGCTTTAATTTTTTCTTACAATATTAAGAAAAAAAATGATCCACCTTACATAAATTCCACTAACTCCATCAGCACATAACCATACAAGAAAATTAAGAAGAGAACAACCCTCTCTGCTCTTTGCCACATTGTTCTTTTTTTTTTTTTTTTAACACTTCAGATTTCCAAGCTTGAATCCATATACAAAATCTTCACAGTACAGAATTACCGGAACAGGCCCTAATCTTCCTCGGCAATGATGAACCGCATTGGGGACATATTCACCAGGATGAAATAGAAAACATGGCTCCGGAGAAACCGCTCGGCGGCAAGCTGGTTCCAAAGGCTTCGTCTCATAATCCCCTGGATTCTTCAAAAACCATGGATTCAACCCTGCTAGACCAGAAGCCACATACCCAAAAGTCGAAAATGGGCTGATAACCAAAACATCACACATGCTCAGAAGATATACATCCACCAACGCCTTCATATTGTGGTAATTTCTCTCAGATTCCTGCATCCCTTCATGACTACTAGTCCGATAAACCCTGACCGATACCGATCCCTCCCCATCAGCAATCGGCCTCGTCGAGTACATGTTCTTCAGTTCTGAGTAAAACTCCGGCAACAACGACTCCACCAAAATTACTTTTGATGTCTTTCTTCGGAATGAAGGAAGTATCGTTGTTCTGGTAGTGGTGTTATTTTGCTGTAATCGTGGCAGGATTTTGGATTCCTCCTGAATGCATTTCAGAATGTGCGGTAGTACAATGGAAGGTGGGGTTTCATAAGGTTTTCCAACTTTGATCTCGAGCCCGACCCTCTGCTCTGCTTTCGCCAGGTAATCGTCGTAGAATCTGGCGATGGCGCCCCAGGCTTGATTCGTTGGGTTAAAGAGGTATCTCCCTAAGTGGTGGAAAACGGTCTCCTTGTCATCAGGGAACAATTTGTCCAGTTCCGTCCTGAAACAGGGCAATAAGAAGAAGTAAGGGAGAAAGTACTGCTCCGATCTCAGGACGAGCCAAGGGACATTCTTCAGGAGTTCCTGAGTCTCGTCTCTGTAGAAAAGCTTGTCGTGATCGTCGTAGTCCATCGAGAGGTAAAGCAGGAGGAGCGATTCGGTATCTGCTTGCAGCTTCTGATCCTGTTTCTGGTTCTGTTTCCTCATTAAGTTGCCTAGGCTGAAAACTTGCCTGAACTCTGCACTCCTGGCTCTGTCCCTAAAAGTGAACTCTCCAGGGAGGAGCCAGGTCGATTTGCGAAACGGCTCACAGAATAGACCAAGCATGGAGGGGTCGAAATCGACGAGAAGGACCCGATCGGTGAGGAGAGCGTAGAGAAATGAAGAGGACAAGCTGAGCATTGTGGTCGCCAATTCATCATTACCCGGAGTGAACACGATATATCTGCAATCCTGTGCCAAGTCTTCATTTTTCCTGATGAGCGAGTCAGGGGAATTCTTTACCTTGACGAGTTCCTGAGAGGTCCGCTCGAAGGGTTTCGATAGGGGATCGCAGCGCTTGTGATGCTGCTCGTACTCTTGAAGCCTGGATAGGAGGTAAGGAGATGGTGGAGATTTGTGGCGATTTGAGTTTCGCGACGAGAAGCTCTGTAATTTCTCCCTGCTGACGCAGGATTGTTCTTGAGATGGGCATGACTGTTCAAGAGGGTTTTTCCTGCAGCGTTCTTGTGTTCGTTGGGAGGCGATGATGATGAGTAGAAGACAAGCGACCGCCGTAGCAGCTACTACCCTTGTTGGAGTTCTGCGCGGGTGCGTCAGCTTATCCATTTTTGGTGAGTTGATTGTAGTTTGCAGGTCGGGTTTTGGACTGCAACTCTTTGGTTACCCTTTGTTCCCATGTATGTTAGAGTTTGAACTTTGATTAAGGTCTTGGAGCAGGTTGCGCATCACATCTTAAGGTGTAAGTTTTAACCAACCCAGTTCAGTATGATAATGAAGCATGCACACTTGCGATTTGCGGGTGATACTCTTCTGCGCTTATGATTAATCAGTCAACTAATGAGGTTAATTAGACGGCTCTAACTAATGAAACCGAACTTCGGTGATCAATGACCCTCCATTAATTAATTAATTAATTAATTAATATATAAAAGCCTAAGTTTAAGTTACTATTCATTAGTGGCTCTCACACTCTTTCTAGTACAAGTGGGGAAGTTTCAAGTCCTTCTTTTACCCCACTCTTCATTTTACAACCTTTGTGTTTAGTTAATGTTCGCTAGGTTTTCGTCTATGGTTTTTGGCACAAATCGTCGTCTTTGTGTTTTGTTATTGTTCGTTAGGTTTTCGTCGAATGCTTTTTGCACAAATCATCCTCTTTGCCCACCATTTTGCAGTCCATCTCGAAATACTTTATTATTAATTATTAATATATAAAAGCCTAGGTTTGAGTTACTATTCATTAGTGGCTCTCACACTCCTTCAAGTGCAAGTGGGGAAGTTTCATGTCCTTCTTTTCCCTCACTCTCCATTCTACAACCTTTGGGTTTAGTTAATATTCGCTAGGCTTTCGTCTATGGTTTTTTGCATAAATCATCGCCTTTGTGTTTTGTTATTGTTCGTTAGGTTTTCGTCGAAGGCTTTTTGCACAAATCATCGCTTTTGCCCACCATTTTGCAGCTCATCTCGAAATACTGTTGGCGGAATGCTAAGTTGTTCCTCATCATAATTTCTCAAGGTCGTGACCATGAGTTTTGTATCGGGACCGAGTTTCATCCTCTTTAGTGTTTTTTTCTTTCTTTTTTTCCCTTTTTGTTGAGCGTGATCACAATTGAACTCAAACACATGAGTATTCATCACCTTTGCCACCATTTTGCAGCTCATCTCAAAATATTATCGGTGGAATCCTAAGTTGTTCCCCATCACCGTTTCCCAAGGCCGATACCACGAGTTTTGTATCTGGATCGAGTTTCATCCTCTTTAGTGTTTTTTCTTTCTCTTTTTCCTTTTTTTGTTGAGCATGATCACAATTGAACCCAAACACATAGGTATTCTAACTTGAAAACAAATCAGCGCCTTTACTCACCATTTTGCAGCCCATCTCGAAATAATGTCGGCAGAATCTTAAGTTGTTCCCCATCATCGTTTCCGAATGCCGCTACCACGAGTTTTGTATTGAGACCGAGTTTCATCCTCTTTCGTGTTTTTTTTTTTCTTTTTTATTCTTTTTGTTGAGCATGATCACAATTGAACCCAATGCCGCTACCGAAATTCATATCATATCTACTCAATGTTAGCGAGTTTTGTATCGAGACTGAGTTTCGTTCGCTTTAGTTTTTTTTTCTTTCACTTTTTCCTTTTTGTTAAGCATGATCATAAGTGAACCCAAATCCATGGGTATCCAACCTAATTTGATCCCGTCAAAGCGACTTGAAACCGACTTTAGCATTTATAAATTTCTCTTTTCTATCTGTGAAACCGACTCAAAATATTATCGGTGGAATCCTAAGTTGTTCCCCATCATCGTTTCCCAAGGCGGATACCACGAGTTTTGTATTTGGATCGAGTTTCATCATCTTTAGTGTTTTTTTCTTTCTCTTTTTTCTTTTTGTTGAGCATGATCACAATTGAGCCCAAACACATAGGTGTCCTAACTTGAACACAAATCAGCGCCTTTGCGTACCATTTTGCAGCCCATCTCGAAATACTGTCGGCGGAATCTTAAGTTGTTCCCCATCATCGTTTCCGAATGCCGCTACCACGAGTTTTGTATTGAGATCGAGTTTCATCCTCTTTAGTATTTTTTTTCTTTTTCTTTCTTCTTTTTGTTGAGCATGATCACAATTGAACCCAATGCCGCTACCAAAATTCATACCATATCTACTCAATGTTGGCGAGTTTTGTATCGAGACTGAGTTTCGTTCGCATTGGTATTTTTTTTCTTTCACTTTTTCCTTTTTGTTGAGCATGATCATAAGTGAACCCAAATCTATGGGTATCCAACCTAATTCGATCCAGTCAAAGCGACTTGAAACCAAATTTAGCATTTATAAATTTCTCTTTTCTATCTGTGAAACCGACTCAAAATATTATCGGTGGAATCCTAAGTTGTTCCCCATCATCGTTTCCCAAGGCCGATACCACGAGTTTTGTATTTGTATCGAGTTTCATCCTCTTTAGTGTTTTTTTCTTTCTCTTTTTACTTTTTGTTGAGCATGATCACAATTGAGCCCAAACACATAGGTGTCCTAACTTGAACACAAATCAGCGCCTTTGCGTACCATTTTGCAGCCCATCTCGAAACACTGTCGGCGGAATCTTAAGTTGTTCCCCATCATCATTTCCGAATGTCGCTACCACGAGTTTTGTATTGAGACCGAGTTTTATCCTCTTTAATTTTTTTCTTTTTCTTTTTTCTTTTTGTTGAGCATGATCACAATTGAACCCAATGCCGCTACCGACAATCCATACCATATCTACTCAATGTTGGCGAGTATTGTATCGAGACTGAGTTTCATTCGCTTTAGTATTTTTTTTTTCTTTCACTTTTTCCTTTTTGTTGAGCATGATCATAAGTGAACCCAAATCCATGGGTATCCAACCTAATTCGATCCGGTCAAAACGACTTGAAACCGACTTTAGCATTATAAATTTCTCTTTTTTTCTTCTTTTGGTTGGGAAGACAATTGAACTCGAATCTAAGGTTTTGATGAGTGTTGTATTGTGAGTGAACTTTATCAGCTTTTGTAGTTGGCAGGTTGGACCATGACTTAATTTGTTAAAAAATTGTTCAAAGCGAGCTGAACACTTTGTAGACAAGTTTTAGATCGAAAGCGAGCTTTCTACGCTTAAATGTTTTTTTATTTCTCATTTTCCTTTTCGTTGAGAATGACAATTGAACTCTGACCCATTGTTGACGTGTTTCGTATCGAGAGCGAGTTTTATCCGCTTTTGTAATTGACAGGTTGGGTAAATTATGAATTTGTTAAAACTGGGTCGACCTGGTCAAAGTGAGTTGAGCGCAGTGTTGAGAGTTTTGGGTCTTGAACGAATTTTATCCGCTTTAGTATTTTTTTTTTTCCTTTTAGTTGAGAATGACAATTGAGTCAAAATGCATGGGTATACAACCTAATTCGACCCGACCAAAGCGACTTGAACCCAATTTTATAGGTTTTCAGCGGGATCGAGTTTTATAGGTTTTTTTGTAATTGGCGTGTTGTGTCATGTGTGAATTTTTCCAAAACTCGGTCCAACCAGGTCAAAGCGAGTTGAACCTGGTTTTTAACGAGTTTTGAGTCGGTAGCGAGTTTTAGCTTTACTGTTTTTCATTTCACTTTTTCCTTTTGTTTGAGAAATACAATTGAACCCAAATCCATGGGTATCCAACCCAATTTGACGCGATTAATGCGAGTTAAACCTCCTTAAACTTGCAATCAGTCCAAAAATTTCATAACGAAGAACCACGATTACCTCAAACCAGAAAAAAAAAAAACCAAAAGAGTACGACTATGTTTGGCTCGAATTTTATAAGTTTTATGTTTCAAAAGTTGAAACCAAGCCAAACACCTTCACTTTTTAAAAAATTAAAGTTTTCCGTAATTTAAAATCAGAAGTTCCAATTTGAAAATACAAAATTATCCTTACCATATATTATTCTTTTTCTAGAAAATATAATTTTATTTCATTCATATCTTTATAAAAAATAAATGGAAAAATAGTATTATGTAATATGAAATAAATCTAACGTGATTTATTTTAAATACTTTTTTATTTTTGAATTTGTATTCATATTTTATGTTAGAAATCTTTTTTAGTCATTTTACGTTAACTTTTATATTAGAAAGTAATTCTGATAGTTTTTCAGTTAAACACTCAATAATTTTTTTAAATATTTTTTGAAAAATCCAGAGAAGCTGCATGATCAACTACTACCATACAAATTGAAACATTAGCGTCATGAAAGAAGTTTAAACATAAATAATCTATTCGACGATCCTTCTATCTTATGGAAGTTCATCGATCATATACTATTTTAAATAACAAACCTTAAAAAGAATGATTAATAATGAAATAAGATTACTTTCACTTTTGGGTTAATATTAAGACTATCACTCTTTAAAATTTTTATTTTTGTGATACGTGAAGTGATAGCTAGTAGGCTTTTGCTAGTATGTTAGGAACAACTATATCACAATCACTGAAGTTACTTGACTCCCGCTCTGCAGCTGAGAATATTTAATTTCTATTGTCAACCGGCAACGAATTATTCCAACAAATTCATATGACTGTGAAATAATCTGCAACAAACAAACAAACAGATAAATTATGACTATATGAACATTATAGTAAAATGACATCCAACCACCTAGGTGACACTCTAAAAAAAGTGACCAAAATGTAAATCTTATTTTCGTAAGTAAAAATTTATTGGTCATTTTTCTTAAGTATCAAACTTGCCAGTGATACACACTACAAACACAAATGCATTTGAGTCATTTTCAAACATCGCTTAAAGATGTCAAAATTGTTATTGCAGCTTTGCCGATAATTATGAAAAAAATAATGGTTAATTGCATTGAAATATTCTTTTTAATTTCGTCACATAAATTAAGTTACTAGGGCATCTGCAGAAAGCGCCAGTATCTACATTTTCTCACATTTATTTCGACATATGAAATTGTGACTATAGAAGCCTGCGTCATTTATAAAAAGTGTTGTTACATATACCTTCCGATATTTTATTTCAACATATGAATTTGACCATAAAACCTTGCGACATTTACATAAAAAAAGTATTTATACATATATTTCCCAACATTTCATTTCTTCATATAGAAATATAACTATATAAATTTACGATATTTACAAAAAAATGTTGGTATATATATACTAGCATAAGCCAGGCTTCGCGTTGAGCGAGAACAT